ATTCTATGATTCTATGATTAAATTGGTTAAGCTTCTGGTACTCTTTCTTTTTTGACACCCCCAGTCTATATCAGTTGCCTTAATAAAAGATATAATTACTCTTGACACACTCGTAGTTTTATTGACCTATGATGGACCAAGGATATGACTAGGAACATTAAGTAAAGAGAAATAAAAACCTGTTGTTAGGAAACAATAAAAAGGAAGGCACCTTTGAATAAAGCCTTCTTTAATAGTTTTTAGAACTCCATTCTAATACAAGTGCTCAAGGACATAATTGGCGATATATTTAACAGCAAGTAGAGTCTCTTCACAGGTTGGCTTTATCTGAGATTCAGGGAGAAGAAAACCATATGTACCAGTGTCTCGGAGCTCAAAAGTGAAAGAGTACTTGATGCCTTGATCGTAGGCCCAGTCGTCAGAGCCCCCTGAAGCAGCATCTGTTGATGAAGAAATAAAATAAAGCTTAACTGGAAAAGTGCAGCTACACATTGAAGTGTGGTATACTTTGGAGTCAAATCAGGTAGCCATAAATGCAGAAAGGACGGATAAAAAGCAATATTCAGTGAATTGATTGATTTCTCCTGCGTATGCAAAAACTTTGGTGATTTTTAGGCCATTTGTGAGCCTGAAAGAACTGCAGATATGGGATGTCAGCTCTGTCTTCTTCTTCCGGACAAATGATACCCTCCCTTTCCACTACTTTGGTACAATGAAGGCAGTCTCTTTCACTAAGGAAGGAGTGTCTAGAATTGCTAAGCATCACCAAAACATTTTTAAAGGAAAAATCTCCATAAATATTCTAAAAATTGGGAGAAATGTGGTTTTTTTAAAGATTTTTAAAATTATTTAAGGAAAGAGAAAAAGGGAAAAAAGATTAGTTTCCATATTTAAGTAAATTAAGAGGTCTTAAATATAGGACATATTAAAGTTCTAGAAATCTAGATTTGGCAATCTCAGCTTGGCTTTTGACACTGCAAAGGCCGTGTGCTGACAACTGAGTTCCCAAGAAGTAGAAGAATGGAATTGTAATTAGTATGTTTCTCAGACTGTTATGCAAAGTAAAAGAAATAATTATCTGTGTTGACAGAGTGTTTGAAGCCATACTTTAGGATTTACATCGTCTTTTCACTTTGACTTGGAGATATTGGAAATGCAGAAAATCTCAGGTCAAGATTTATATGTTTATATCTAAGCTGTGTATGATTCAGGAATTCATGCTATGCACATGAATTCCTAAACACTTCACCACATCATCCCCCCTTCCAGGGGTCGCACACTCCCTGGGATCCTTAAGGAATACATCATCCCATATTTTAGAAATGACAGATTCCATATACACCTCTGAGCAAATCCGTGTGAAGAAAGAAGGGGACTACTTAAGAATAACAAGAATCACTAGAAAACTCATTTGATTGTCTTAGAAGCACTTACTAGAGATGGCTAGCATATGTCAGCCAGTACTTACAGATTGTTGTAGCTCCTGGGCCGTATGTATATTCGGTGTTATACAAACTGGCCAGCTGTTCAGATGCAGCCTGAGCAATGGAATTCTGTAGGAAAAGGATAAATGCAAATTTTCAGAAGCTTTCTGAGTGAATCTAAGCAAATATATTGTTGAATAAACTGAAAAGCCATGCTTGAGAAGTTTTTATTTGAAAACTGTTGTTCACCTCTCAGAATGACTAGATGTCAGTAACTGATAAGGCACAACTTGTCCTGTTGTGAAAAGAGTTTATCAGTAAAGAGCTCGTTCTCCAAGCTTTAACGGAGTGTAGTTCGGTCTGTGTATTCCTCTATTTGTACAGCGTGCCTTATAGCCCAGTATGGTTTGGATAGTTAAGGGAGCAAAAGGTAACAGGATTTTCTATACATGGAAGAAACTTGTATAATATTAAAACTAAATAAGGAATCTTATTTAGAGATAAGAGAATCTCAGAGAATAGTAATAACTTGGTACAGTAAATTGTGAATGTACAGTAGCCTTTCTTTTCCTTCTATTCATGCAGTATAAATTCAGAGTAGAGTCAGCTTAGTCAGTGGAGTTGAACACTGATACAAGTGGAAGCATATTAAGGTCTTATAAATATTAACAGCCAGAAAAAGGCATAAATTACCTTGGCACCATATGTAGTCTTGTTATTTTAAATTCATTTCCTGTGCATAGAGGGACACATTCAACTCCCACTGATTCCAGTGAGGGTTGGATCAGGCCCATCAATAGTACTAGGGAGCTTTGTATGTTTGCATTAAGGAAAATTACAGGCTTTTCTTTGGAATGTGTGGCTTTTCCGGTTCTTCATTATTCAACATGTTGGTAATAAAACATGAAAACTATTACTAACAGATGATAAATATGAATGATTTTTAAAAGCAGATGTTCAGTATAAGAATAAGCAATGGGTTGTCATATCTTTCTTTATAGCTTGCAGCTGAATGGCTTACTATTCCAGGAATTTCCTCAAGCCCCTTCTTTCTCTGTAGGTTATACTCTGAATTACTTCCCAGTGGAAGATATATTGTAAAATATTCTCTGTTCATCCTTATGCTTCAAGTGTTCCTGTGAATTACTCAAAAAGTCATATTGGACAATGTGTTTAGAAAATCTTAGTTAAGTCAGAGAGCTTTCTCCGCTTCTACAAAAAATAGGTTTGCTGTTAAAAAATAGGCTTTTTTGAACTGGCAGCCTACTTTATTACACAATTGCAAGTGTTTCCCCGTTACCAAATGTTGGATTTTGAACATCTTAGAATTATGAGAGTTTGTTATAGGAATTTGTGGTCATTTGGCACATTAAAAATATTTAAACAAGGCAGACCAAAGATTATTTGAAGCTTGTCCTTCACCTATAACATTGACTGTACCCGAATGTGGCATTTGTTTTCTGGCCTCTATTGTCCAAACACAAGCAATTGAAGGAAGAATGTTGTTGCTTTGCATTTCACAATCTTGGATTCAGAGCAATTGGGGTAGCTGAGCTCTCTCCAGTGTTTGGGTTATTTTGTTTGGCTGGGTTTTTTCAATCCCTTCACAAGCTGATTTTTCAAAAATCTGTGGTAATTTTTAACACATGTTGAGGGAATTGTAGATATTGGAGACTACTATCTGCTAGTGATTCCATGTTTTCTTCAGTCATCTTTTGTTTATAGTATATATGTTTAATCCGCAGCTGAGATTGACTCAAATCTCTCAATAGTAAATGAATTTTTAAATGTAAACTGAATCTTCCTCTTTTCAAATATATGCAAAGTGGAAGCTAAATTTATAAAGATAGTCTGATACTATGTATGAGCCTATTGGTAATTAGTATTTGCTGTCTCTTTAGTAACTGCACAGTAGGGACAAAAGAGCAGAGCTGCTCTTTGGGAAGAATAGGGCATTCCTTTCACTCAGCTGCCAAATGGTGGCTTTAAATCATGTCAGAACAGATACCAGAAAAGTATGTCAGGAAATCTTTTTACCTGAGGGATTTTTTTATTATTGGCCAGGAAGTTGTAAAAAGAGAGATTTGTAGAAAGAGCAGTTAAGATTTCCAGCTGTTAAGAGCCTGGAATCCAAATAAACAACTTCCTCAAGCTCTCCAGGTTGGAGATCAAGGTGGTATTTTAAATGACCCTCTCTAAGTGAAAAAACATGACTGAGCATTTATGACTTCATCATGAAATGAAACTTTATCAGAAGTTTTTATATCTGCTTTTTTTTCCCTTTTAAGTGTCTCTCTGCAGTTTGCTTTCCTGGTAGATCTATAGTCCAAAACCTAAAGTTTTTTTTTTTTCAACTTTATAGGAACCAAAGTCACCTCTTAATAATAATAATATAAAACAGCAGGGATAATAAAAATCAAGTAAATACTTGTGAGTATAAATACAAAATATGAGGACAATTTTTTCTTTTTTGAAAAAAATAGTACAATTACTTAAAACCATCTGTAAAAAGGAAATAACATGGAGATTTATGCAGAGGTATATAAGTAACACCCAAGGTTTTCCAAAAGGGAAAGTGGTATTTAGCTTTTGAAAAGTGGTTTGGATTTTCAAGCTTGTGTGTTATTTGGAATATAGCTGCAAGGAGAAACATCAGTATCATTTTGACCTGTGAGGATACTCTTTGCTGTTGAGCGATTTTCTAGATCTCTTTGCACACTGTCTTAACTGTATTGTTGCAGTTTCTTTGGAGTTTGTTTGTTTGTTGGTTGTTTTTTTTCCACTGTTAGAAATCTCTCTCTTGCAAGGAAAATTTTACTAGGAGTTATAGTAGCAGAGAAACAACTGGCGCCCTGAAGTCCTAGAAATAACTCCAAATTAATATCTTGTAACTAGGAGCAGAAAATGGGTTTTCAGCTTCTGACTTGCAGCTGAACTCGCAGAGCTGGTCATCTCAGCAGAAGGTAGTATTCCCTGTGCTGATCACCCATCTGTGTTTACACAGCAGTTACTAATATTTTACTTGATCTTGTGTACAGAGCGCATGGGCCAGTGAGTTGTAGTTCTCAGTTGCCATTATCTTACATACATCACAAGCCTTTAAACCTATTTTTTCAGTTAATAGCTTTTCATGAAAGATATATTACTGGCCTCTCATTCTCACCACATCTGGAACAAGATAAACAAGACTAAGCATCTTCTGTGTGTTAATAGGTAATTTTTTTAGGAGCATCTCTCTCATTTTACTCTTGTGTCATCAGGGTAGATTTGCCAGCAAATTGAGGCTAAACGCTTCAGGGTTGTTGATTATACAGCTGCTGCAGCGGACAACTCTCTTTGCCCTCACAGTCTGACAGTGATCTGGAGAAGCCTTGCCACTGATTGACTGGACCTCTTGCTCTCTTCCCTCACTGGATTGCAACCTGATTTGCCTGAGACTGAAAAATGTATTTTCACTTCAGCCTCCTGGGCTACTTAAGCAACCCTCAACTTCCTTAATTATGAAAGTCTAAAAATGTGATATTTGCAAAGTTAGCTTTAGCCAAGTGAAGCTAAACTTCTGGGGCTTCTTGTTTCACCAATAAAACCAGAATCCCCTCAAAAGAGTCCATGACTGAAGAGTAGTTTAGTTCATTATTCTGTTGTTGCTCATAGTTACACATCTCCCTGAAAAGTCCAGGGAATCCAGTCAAGGACTTTAGTATGATGCTTCTTTTTTCTTTGCAAGCCTGTTTCTCTGTGACAGTCTCACAAAGAGTTTAAGAAATCTATCCCTGGTGAGAGGGTTTCCAGTGTGACTTAGTTCAGGTGAATGCGCCCTACACCTGTTGGAGACTCTTGTCTTTGAGCCAGATTCATACAAAAGCTTCATCTGGGAGATGCTGCTCCTAAAAACATCCTTTTCACAGTTGTAAGACTGTCAGTACAGAGCAGCTCTGTTGTGGGACATCGGTTGTGGCAAACTCATTGAAGGAGCTGTGGAGACGATTCCAAATATTGCTTTTCTTCCCACTTTCCTGTTTGTTACGCTTCTCAGTTGACTTTACCAATGTTTACTTTTAACAAGTAGTACAATCACAGGAGTTTGCAGCAGCACAGATACAATGACAGCATATGTTGCAACTCCTCATTGGTATGCCGAGTCTCTTAGATGACAAGATTTTCACTGTTCAAAAATTCTTACCCACAGGTCTTCATATATCTTAAACACATTCAGGAATAAAGTCAAGAATGAAAAGACTTTGCTCCCAGGCAGCAGGTTAAATAATCAGACTGCTATTCACAAAGTCACGCGGTATATTTGAAATTGACTCTTCTTGCAGACTGCACAGACTCTGGGCATATCTCCACTTTCTACTACATCCTACTTTAAGCACTCAAGAGGAAAAAGAAACGCTAGACCAACCCATTACGGAAGGTGAATTTCAGTGAGCTTAAACAATAACCCATGTGGTCAATACGCCTTCAAGTAATACAAACTGAAATCCTGTGTCTAGAAAATGATCTTGGGTTGTAAATTGATATAATATTCTGCAGCCTGCCAGGCTGTAATAATGCACGTACATTAATCTGACAATGAGTACGAGCTGGCTGCAGATATGTATTTGGCCCTGAGTTTGTTGTTTAACTGAGAGATGGAATTGAACGTGGAAGGAAAGGAAAGGCACAATACACATTTCTCTATCAAATCATAGTTCAGAGCCAATTCGAATACAAACAAGAATTGATAAAGCTAGACTTGTCTGCAGTGTGACCTAATAGGAATCTAAGGCCAAAATATGAACTGATTAAAAAATCTGGGCTGAACAGTTTATGAATAGTGCAATTAAATATAGAGTTCTTTATTGCAAGAGGACAAAACTGTGAATAGTAAAATAAAGATGAAAACAGTCTTTTTGGGGTGTGGAGAGATACTGATCTTGTCAAGCATGTTTTTTAGTTGTGAAAAGCTAATGCTTCTGTTCTCTGTAGGAGATAGATTCAAGTGTGTGTTCTGTGTGCAGGGTAACACTCCAGGGTATAGTAAGGAATGAGTCAAGAGGATTATGAAGCAGGCAAAATGTGATTCACCAAAAGGAGTGCATATTTCTGTCAGAGTGTCATCACAAGAATATTGTGTAACTTCTGAGAAATTCCTGACCTAGATTTTCCTGTCTTGGGTGTTTTTATTTTTGTTGTTCAAATATCGTTTGGATGACAGTGAGAGTTTTGTGCAACACCCCAGGAGCAGGGGGAAAAAACAACCCTGAATAAAGGGAGAAAAGTTTTTGGAAAATCCTTGTGAACTGTGGGGTTGAAACCCTCAGAGCTCCTCTTGCATCTAAGAAAAAGAGTGGGAAGTTGTGGGAAGGAAGGGACATATGTCTCTTTCATCATGTTTTACACTCCAGGGCCGGGGGTGGTTGAGGGACAGTTCTAATCCCTGACTTAGAGTAAGTTACAATAACTTTGAGGTTGTTCTGATTTGCTATAGCAATGCAGGGGAACATAAAGCATGTCTGGGATTCTCAGCGTGCCCTGTTCTACCTGAGAAACCAAAACTGGAACAGTTTTATGCCTTCTGATGATTTCTTCAGTCTCTGAACAGTCTTTTGAGCCTCAAGGACACGCTGTTCAGTACGCTTACGGGAAAGGAAGGTACAAGCATTCTCTAGATCTTTCTCTTCTGCAGACTTAGTGTCTTCAATCTCATATTACTCAATTTTTGTGCCTTTCTATATCTCAGACACCGGAATGCAGCATAAGCTCCGTGCTATTATGCTACATTTAATTAAATACAATGGAACAAAATGTTGTTAATGATAAGCAGACATGAGAGGTTTTGTTTAAGCACATGTCCAGTTGGTCACTGAAAGAGATAAGAAATTGCATCCATATTTCCTTTCATTTATTAGATCTGTCAGAGTAAAAATAACATCTAAGATAAGATAATGGCACTATAAATTTTTGCTTCTTCATTTGCAAAGTGATTTATGATCGTTTGCCCAAACAATTTCTATTAAAAGTTGAGATTCTCATTCTTCAGCATTTCTCTTAATTCTAAATCTAGATAGAACTTTTAGATATGAAACACAATTGGCATACAAACTAATACTTCTTTTTGTAGCTGTCTCATTTCAAGGCAGTACAATTGTTGATTGAAAAATCTTAAATTTTCTTTTGTCACAGCTTAAATGAATGTTTTAGTTATTTGAAGTAACCTGAAAAGATGCACTTTCGAACCTGACCCAGAGCCTGTTGAAGAGTCTTTCTGTTTAATTCACTGACATTGGAGTGAATTAGGCCCTTTCTGTTTAATTATCCCAGCTACAGGCAATGTTGATTGGGTGATGCTCTGATCTCATTCTCCAAAAGAAAGATTTTTTTCAAGAAGTCTTCCCTTGTTAAAATCAGGCACTGCACAAGTTGAACACCTCTGGGATCCTGCTGACTTTTTGTTGGGTTCACCAATAGAGGAAATATTTTCCATTAATTAAGACGTGAAAAACACTCATGAGGTCACCCTGTCATGGTGGTGAGATTTGTGATTGCTTTGTAGTGGAAAATAATAGAGCTCCCTCTGAGTTCAGTGTGCCTGATTTAAAATATAGGGTAAAGTGATGTTGGAAAGACTAACTTACAAAGTCAAATCAAATGGTTGAAGAGAAATATATAGCCTGCGTTCTTGAGCTATTTATTTTTTATGCTGACTGGTAATAGCAGAATTGTCCTCTATGGCAGGAGAGTTTTTGTTGGCAAAAATTCTAGAACCGTAGTATGGGTTGATTCATTGGATTTTACTGTGTATTAGAATAGAACATTACTAATATAAAATTTTAATTTAATAAAAGAATTTGAAAACTTAGAAAAGCACATAAGTTCTTTCTTATTGCTAAAGATTATTCTAATAATGAGGTTTAATGTAAACTTTTTGCATTTAATACTGTGAGAAACATGCTGTACTTATAATTATGTTTCATCACATTTGCTCTTGATTCGAAAAACTGAGCAGAATGTCATGCAAATTTTTAACACATGGGAACTTTGTGATCTTGACAACAAAGCAGCTTCAAGCGTTTTGTGTTGTTTTATTACTTTAGACTGAACTGCAATGTGTGAAATATGAAGCTTTTGTAAAAACGGAAGACAAAAAATTGCTATAGTTTCCTGGAATAATTACAATTAAAAATTTCTGGAATATAAATTAAGAAAACAAAATCTTCATCTTAATCTCATCCTTTCTTCTAAGCCATGAAAAATGTAGCAAGACTTTTGGCCCCAGTTTATATTTGTGTATCAGAATCATGCCATCTATTTGGGAGCACTCATAAATCTGTCAAACCTGCACAGCAGAGCAACACACAGTGTTGTTGCCTTGGACTTTTGGCAGCATCCAGGAAAGAGGGAGAATCAAGATTTGTTTGTTTTGTTTTGCTGTGTTGTTTTGCCTGCCAACAGCTTCTAATTGCTAATATGGCAGAGAACTGAAGTAATTTTTATTATTCATGATAGCTGATTTTTTTTGCCTTTTAAAATATTTACAAGTTTTATATACATTTGGCAGTTGTAACCCCTCTCTGTTTTTAAGGATAAAAAAATAATATTCCAGACTCTTGTTATTTTACTTACATGGCATTAGGGTATGGCCTTTCTCTAGGATGAATGAAAGAGGTGTTGTCCTTTAAAACATCACATTCATCCTCTCCCCTTCCAAATAAAGGGTATGTTTGGATCCGGGCCTGTTTAGAAAGGCCTCAGAACTGAAACTTTTTACCTGTTTTGTATCTAACTGTTTTTTGTTGTACTTTTGACAATAACCGCCTCGTATCAATAGGAGTTTCACCATTTTACTTCAGTGAGAACTGAGGTTCAGTAGGAAGAGGCAGACAGACATCCCTGTCTGCTGGTGATGATACCAGTTCAGTCATTTCATAGTTATTACAATCTGTCAAGCTGTTAGCTTGACTTACAGGGCATAATGTTTCTATATAATGTATTAAAGCTACATACACAGCAACCTCTTGAGTCATGAAGAAGCGGTGCTGCACAGCATAGTGGATTTGTGCATAGCCTGACTGGAAGACAAACCTGACCTTGCAGCAAATTAATTGTGTATGTGGAAATTAAATAAGGCTCTTAAGTTTAGCCTGTGCTTGAACGATGTTGAAGCCATCATGGTTTCCCTTGTTCTTGCTGTGAAAGACTGCAGTATTTTCAAAAACTGGCAGTACAGATCCTTTCCAGATGTTAAAGAAACTGCTTCAAGTTAAATGGACCTAAATAGCAAGTAATGATTTTTGCTTATTCTTTTAATTATGTCAAAATGACAGAGAGACTTACCAGTTCTTCATAATCTGATGGTAATTCGTAGGTATACGAATAAGGAAACAGTAGCAGCTGGGAATAGGAGTGAATCGTCAAGTATGCCTTGATTGTAGAAAGATGTTCACGGATAAAATCAGCCAAAGCCTTAGTTTCCTTTTCAGATTCAGGTGCAGAGCCACAGTAAGTGGAATCACAGGGGTATTTTGAGGCCCCAAGAGCTGGGAAGAAAGGTGAGTTTAATGAGTATTTAATGAAAAAACTTGGTTCTTAGGAGATAAGATATCTGCTTATGTTGATAAGCCTTGGAAATCCTAGTGACACATATGCCATATCAGAGGAGAGAGTATTTTATTGCATAGTTAAGACACTGGGCAACATGACATAGCATTAAATAAATATGCTCTGTCCAGTATGCATAGTTGGAAGAATATGAGTACCGATGTAAAGCCCTGTATTATGTAAGTGACTTGACATATTGATTTACTTCAGTACTTAACAATCCTCTCCTTGCATATCTCCCCTGTTTCTAGGACACTTCAGGAACCAGCCAAGTGCAAACCACTCAAGAGGCCACTCTCCGCAGAGTGAAACTAACCAAAAAAAACCTCTTAATGTTTCTGTTCTGAACTCGTAGAAGTGTATGTATATATATGTATATGTGTGTATAGACGTGCGTGTATATATGTGCATATATATGTTCATAGAAGTAGCCATACTGATGACGCTAGTAACCAAAGTCTGTTTTTTACCTAAAACTTCCCCAGAAATTGAACACAAGCTACTCCACAATGCTATACTGATGGTCTTAACTCAAGCTTAAGCTGGAGCGACCATCAGATAGGGAAAATCCATAATTAAGCAGCTTGACTACTACACCTCTGCATGATTGCTTGCAGCTACTATTAGGAGACACTTACTGCCCCAGCCAGCATTAAAATTCCTGTTGGGATCAGTACCAATGCAACGGCTACCAGCATTTGCAGAGCGTGTCTTTCTCCACAAGCGATTCTGAAATAGAATGGTGAAGCATAGATCAAAACTAAGAGAAAGTTCTAACAGCTGGCTTTTCCAGCAATACTCTTTTTGAGAAAGAATAATGTACTTACATTTGTCCAAGTGTAAACGTAACCATCAATATTAACAACAGGCAAAACATAGAAGTCCAAGCTGTTGAGAAGCGTGGTCACAACAGTATCACTTCCATAGGTCTCAACAGCCTAGTTGGAGAAAAGTAGAAAAAGCTGATGATACCTTCGTAGATCTGTATCTCCTGTGTGTTTTTAAAGGCTTGGATCTGGATCAAAAATTAGTGAATGTGGTAGGTAAAGTCATCTAGGTCACTCCACCACATGAGATGGCTGCTCTGTGATATTACATATGCTTATGGACATAGGATTTACACTGACACAAACCACACTGCTGTTAGAAAGCCATGTCATTCTGGTAGATAAATTATATGGTAAAGCAATGTTGATTTTGAACAGGACAATAAATCACTAGAAAGAGATTTTAATCTACTACCTTCTTGTTTAAAGACATAACAAAGTCCCTGTCCATATATTCTCCCTACATCCTGTCACCTTAAAGGTTTGATTTTAATTTACGTGAAAAGAAAAAATCATTATTCCCATTTTTTATATCTGTTGTGCAGCGAAATGTCAGAAATTATGGAGAATACTTCCAAAGAACATCCTTACCCATTTCCAGTCGTAGTGCTGTGGATGCATATATTCATAGGGAGGCAGATTTTTCCCTGCACTTTTCCGTACACATGTATCGAATAACACACATAAGAACTCCTGCCATAAACCTGTATATCCTGATTGTTCATGGCCTGGCACTTTGTGTGCTTGTTCGCAGATTTGTATCAGTGTCAAGGGAGCATGCAATGACCATGGAAATTTGCTTTAAGTAGTATGTTGCACCCATGTTTCCTTTACTCTACACAGACATAAAGGGCAACATAGGGAGAAATGCAATGGAGAAAGGCATCTATTGTCCTGTAACTAGCAAGTGAGAAGGTTGGATGTAGAATCTAGAAAAGCAGTTCCAGATCACCAGAACTTACTTTTTACTGTTTTGGTTTTTTTAATGATTGGTGGTGGGGTTTGGTTTTATTTTTTTGACATATAACAGTCTACCTTGCTCATGTTTTTCTCTAGGGTGGTTTTTTTGTTTCACTTTTATGTCTAGAAGCAATCTCGAGTGAACCACTGATGATGCTCAGAGGACTGAGCTTTTACAGCATGTCTGCCTATCTGCATTTGGATCCAACTGGGCAGAACCACTGCTGGTGTCAGGTACGCCCATGAATTAAGTGACCAGACAGTGAAAATGACAGCTGTAGTGACGTGAATTGCTAAAAGACAAATGGCGGCACATACTGTCTGCAGCCTTATTAGGAGATAATGAAATCACATTCCCATTGGCTCCACTGAGATGTCACTTTCAATTTCCACTGCTTCCTACACAAAACCACATGGCTGTCTGATAAGGCTGAGATTATACGCTCCACAAAGGCCTCTGCCAGCGTGGCTCACTCACGTACTTTGGCTTTCCTTTGCTTGATTTTAAATCCCAGCTGCTGCTTCTGTTTTGTGGGTTTTGTTTTGTTATGTTTTTGGTTTTGTTTTTTTTTAACCTTCAAGCAGGAATTCTTACAAAGTTTGATTCGATTAGTGAGTTGTTCTACTAAGTTGATTGATCTCCCCTCGCTGAGGAGGAATATACCTCTTTCTGTAGAGGATACTGTACAGCATTTGATAACTCCCACTTGCTTTATATTGGTGGTGAGGAGGAGGAAAAGATGAAATAAAATTGTTTAATTCAAAGCCTGAAGTATGCCAGCCTGAAGTGAAGCTAATTTCACCTGTGCAGCTCTTTCCTGAGTATGGTTTCATGTTTTAGAAACCCTTCTGTACAACTTGAGCCTTTCTGTGGCTGCTCAAAGGGATGTATATGCATTTCTCTCTTCCTGAGTCGAGTTTAGGGAGCTTCGTCTGTAGTCTTCCTCCTCTCTTGGGTACATTTCCTCAGTGTACTCTGTGCTGAGCTGAGGGTAGGTTTCTACCCTCTCTGTTGCCTTACTCGAGTAAGGCTGGTTGCAGGGAATACAGCACGTGATGCTGCAGGAAGATGGCTGCTCTGAAGTGCATTCAGATGCCTTCTGATGTGTCCTTGAATTTCCTAATTCCCTGCTCTTTGTGACGATGTGAACAACATGACTATGTTTATAGTGTTAGTAGACCTGTTTGCTTGTCTCTCACCTTTCTCTGACTACAGGTGCAAAAGGAATTTATATACTGTGTAAGTTGCCCTTGTAGTTGTCGGTACCTCTTACACATGCTTTTAGGTAGCCTTAAGCTGCTGAAAGATTACAGGTCCAACCATTAAGACCTGTTTAAGTAGTTACGCCCTAACCATCTGAGGTGAGAGAAGGGATGTGTGGACAGGTATTTAGAGGTAGAAAGGCAATCTGCAGTGGCCTCAGCTTTTGCTGCTCACTTATTATTTTCTTAAATATAGTTGCATTTTGTAAAATATTTTTTCATCATTAAGCTTACTGACTTCTTTCACAAACCACTGGCAGAAAGCAGGGGAGATCCATTCTCTTGCATGGAAACCACAATCCAGAAAGATGGCCGTCTTATTTTGACCACTTTTTCCCACCTAGGAAAAAAAAACCAACAAAAAATTCCAGTCTTGAACAAAATAATTTGTATGCAGAACAAGTCAGTCAGTTTGCTGACCTAAAAAGTCAAACTTTATACAAACATAGCATTCCTTGGTTAAATGGAAATCTGTGGACTACTCTCAGCTGTAGCTAAAAAAATAGACTGAATAATTTCATTTTTATTCATGTAGCTTATGCTTCCCCCTCCCAAATATTTGATTCTTCTGCTCTGTTGATTTATTTCCTGTAGCGTCTCAAAGAGTTGATCTTGTTTGCTTCAATGATACATTATTTAAATGCTTATGCAATTTTGGGTAAGTAATCTTTATCTTTTCACCTTTATTTAAGTCATGGTGTCTTATTTATTCATAAGAGTTATGCCAAATAATTACATATGATGAAGATACAAACAAATTTGTTGCCTATTGCTAGAAAGATGGACATTTATACATCTTTTTAGAGTAAATCAGTTTACAAACAACAGATGGAGAGAACATAAAGGTAGATGATCATTCAAATAGCTCTCAGGAGTGTGGTTAAAGTTATACATCTGAACTTCTAATAATTCATTATGCCCCTTTTAAAAAAAGAATCTTAAAAGGTGAAAAAAAAATCATAGTGGTAGTGCACAAAACTTATTAGATTTTCTGCAAAATGTATATTACTATCTTAGCGTCATTGGTGCTTTAACAGACGTCATAATCTTGTGGAGGCTAATAGAGGAAAACAGTTTGGCAGAAAGAAATCAAAGCACTTACTTTGAGAAGGTACAGTGGCCGTCCTTCGTATGTTTCCCCGATTACACTGCGAGAGACAAGGTCTGGGTTCTGAGCAGCAATATCAGCAGTCCAAGCAGCTATCTGTTTAATAAGGAAGTTAAATTTACTGATGTCTCTGTCCTCAGGTCCAGAGTAATTAATTCACAGACTTCAAGGCAGAACGGTCCTTCTGAGCATCTAACTTGACCTAGTATTTAATACAGTTTGTAGATTTCCAGGAATTAACTCCTACATGTTCTAGACTTATATGCCTGAATTAAGATTTTTTAGTATGAATTAATTTATCTAAAGCCATCACTGGAGTATAGCTGGTGGATTATAAAACCCTTTGAATGCTAACTCTGTATAGTTATGACCTTGTCAACCCTTAAAGTCTCTTAACAAAACAAAACTGTTTTTCTTATTAAGCTAAGTAGATTGAATGCCTAAAATCTACATGTTGTAATGTGCTGGATGGGGGTTTGTAAGAACAGTCCACTAATGCCAGACACAAAAGAAAGAAAATCTCCTCCATTCTATTTATGATTTAAGAAAAGTAATAACAGCCTTTATTATCTTAATATTGGAGCTGTTTCCCTTTGTTACAGGTGCCTTCAGAAGCTCACAAAAGTGTTGTCACATCCACTCAAAAAAGCATTTCATGTCCAAAGAGCTATCTGTGAACTAAGAAAAAGAGAGGAAACAGCAGACAGATCTAGACAAACTGGCAAGAGAATACGAGAAATAATGGTTGACATTATGGATATTGGTGGGGTTTTGCATGCCAATAACCTTTGCAGAGTCAGAGGAGCTTTTGTTCTTATTTTTAAACAGCCTTGTAAAAGGAGACTTTTTTTTTTTTAGGAGAGTTCTGATGGAATAAAATTGATTAGTTCTGGATGTGTTCTATAGGTACCACCTGGAGAGGAAATACAAATTTTCTGTTTCTAAAAAGTAACATTGCCCACTAAGTAACATTGCTTAGTGGGCAATGACAGGCACGAAAAAGGAAAGATTTTTGCAAGGAAAGACATGAAAGGGAGATTGTCATAGTTCTAAGTATAAGAACTATGATGCAATGGATGATAAGGAGCCACTGCAAAGATGTGTAGAGTAACATGGTCAAGATTACGTGCCAGGAAAAATGAGCATGGCTGTGAAAAAAGGAAGGAGGAGGGGAGAGCTTATGGTGCAAGATGAAGAGTTAGATTTGGAGCAAGGAATGGAATCAAGTGCTAAGGCACATAGAAAATAAGGAGGTGATTGGTGACAGCCAACATGGCTTCACTAAGGGCAAATCCTGCCTGACTAATTTGGTGGCCTTCTATGATGAGGTTACAGCATCGATGGATAGGGGAAGAGAAACTGACAGCATCTACGTGGACTTATCCAAAGCATTTGATACTGTCCCACACGACATCCTTGTCTCTAAACTGGAAAGACATCGTTTTGATGGATGGACCACTCAGTGGATAAGTAATTGGCTGGATGGTCGTTCTCAAAGAGTTGTGGTCAATGGTTCAATGTCCACGTGGAGGCCAGTGACGAGTGGTGTTCCTCAGGGGTCAGTACTGGGACCAGTGCTATTTAACATCTTTGTTGGAGACATGGACAGTGGGATCGAGTGCACCCTCAGCAAGTTTGCATACCAAGTTGTGAGGTGTTGTGGACACGCTGGAGGGAAGGGATGCCATGCAGAGGGACCTTGACAGGCTGGAGAGGTGAGCATGTGAGAACCTCATGAAATTCAACTAGGCCAAGTGCAAGGT